TCGCTTGTTTTAAGCATCTTGGCCAATTTCCCATCGACTCCCTCAGAACATGGTTGATTTAATTGTAGAATTATGTCTCCTTGGAGTTTGCGAAAATCATTTTCTAAAACCCTGGCTCTGTGCACCAGGAAAAGACTGAGACAAAACATGAACGCTGTGAGTGATAATAACGCATTATAGAGCATTTTGAGACTAACAAGCTGTCCCCCCCCAGTCCCCAAGTTACTCAAACGAGTGAAGTCACACATCAGTACACTCCGGAAACCTAAACGTTCAGTTTCAAAATTAGTTTTTAAAATGAGGAACTATCTTTGCCCTGCCTCTCAAGATGGAACTCATTTGGACTGCATGAAAATTACAGCCAAACTGAGATGTATTGTGAAACTCGCAGTTGAAGTAAAAAGCCACATTTTAATAAAGACAAAGGCCTCGCTCGCAGAGCATCATTTGTTCTTGTCAGTACTCGTGCCAGCTCAGTCCGATATGAAAGAGAAGTTGTAACCTTTTAAATTAATACCACTGGCTGCACAAACACAAGAGACGAATGGTTTAGACAGAAAATGAAACATTTTAATCCATCAATCAACTCCATTTACAAAAGTATATCCCATTTTATATACAGTATGTACAGACATGTATTAACAACTATCATTTCTCTACATGGATTCATTCATAAGGTAACTAAACAATAGCACTGTAACAAAACATATCACTGATATTCTGCAGGGATGTTGTAGTGCAAATGCGCGCAAATATATAGTGCTGTTGCTCTGTGAACACCTTATAACTCCAGTTTTAGTGGATTTTCTTTACTTTGCATAGATACTTTTATACTTGTGTTGAACATTTGCATCATCTTTCATTTTCTTAAAAATGTTAATATATTCAAATGAATTAAAAAAGGCCAACAAAGCCCCAGAACAAAACATTTCAAATAGCTATTTTAGCTTTTTAGCGTTTTTTGTTTTTTTGGAGATACAAGATTATCATTCAACAGCACTTAGTATACATCAACACAGTGTCCTTCCTCACTTTAAAGAGAGATCCCGTCTTTGCCGGTACAAAATGGCGACTACAAATAGAAACTTCTCTCTGATGAGAACATTTGGTTCATCGATCTCTGCGCAGAATTAAAGTAAAGGGCAGCAGAAGTTGTCTTATTTGGTTCATTTGAATACAGACATCTGTGAAAGTGAACAAAAGTCACTAAAGGGGCGTCCTAAATTTTTACCAGCCCTCTAAACAGAGGCAAAACATAGGCTTTTAAATTACTGTGTCAATCCCACGTCAGGCAGGATGAACAGGCAGTGTGATTCTGGGCTAACGTGACTGCTGCTTTTTGGTTACGCATCGGGGGGTTGGGGGTGGGTGCTGGTGACTGTGCAGTTATCCGTTCTGTCCAGCAGATGGAGCCTCTCCAAGTCTGACACTTCCCAGGAAAGTGGTGTGGTTGGTCATATTGATGAGTGTGTACTCATGAGCTATGCGTATATAGATCTTTTGGCCAGCGCGGAGTGGGCTCACACCAGCCGTGTAGCAGGTGTTGAATTTGCGCTGGCCCGTCTCAATGCTGCAAGTACAGCGGAGGAATGGGCTGGAGTCCACCATCACATCATAGCTGGCAATGTCAGTGAAGTTGAGGTAGTACACCTGGTAAATGGGGCGGGGAGGGGCGGAGGAGGGGGCATACAAATCACAAGACTTTAAAGTGTGTACGACTCCACATGATAATTTCAGGGGTTATTTAAAGCTGAAACAGCTGCAATATTAAAGAAGCCAGCATGAATATGAGTTATGAAGCTTCACATTTAGCCACAGGGAAAGGGCAAAAGAAATACATCTTACATTAAAAAGGTAACATGTATATGCTTAAACAAAGCAGACAGGTCAACTCTGTCATTCTTGAGCTTAGCTTTAGAACGACTGCCAGCTCTTTTGACTATCAACTGTAAATTTAAAGAGTTACGTCAAGGACCGTACTCACTTCTACCTGACTATATATGAAGTAGACACCGTCCAACAGCACCTCTAGCTGCCCAGTGCGAGAGTGCATTTTAAACACGCGGTGATGGATGGACACCATCTTCCAATTCTTAAGGATGCCTTGAGACAGATCTAAACATGTCACAACAAACACACAAAGAGGGTCAACATAAACAGCTTTCAGCAGAGCTTAACTGCAACCAGAGCTCAGCATTGACACACAGTATAAACCTGCTAATGATGCCTGCTGTGATGTGATGAAGGATAATCAGAATCAGTTAGCATGCAACATGAGTATGAGTTACCATTCCAGATTGTAAAACGGCTATAGGATAACTTTAGGATGTCTATAATCCTACACAGTGCTATGGGTAAAAACTGGCAGTAACATTTACCCTGGATAGAAAATCCTTGGTGAGCACAGAAATACTTAAAAATGACCAAATCTGGCATGCTGGATCTCAAGTATAAACATTCACTGCATGTCAACAATCTACTGTGTTTATATTTTTCTCTTGTAATTCTGAGGTTTAGCAGGCACGTCTATTAGCACACATCCAGAACTCTGTGTTTAACCAATGGCAGGGATTATGCATGCTTTTTTGTTCTTTGTGACTAAATGAGCGTAGACTGAGCACCCACCTTCTCTGACTTGGATCGTAGTTTCCTGCCCCTGCAAGTGAACCACTGCTGGCTGGAAGACAAAAGATCTCTGGTGACTAATCCAAATTCACGTAAAACAGGAGAACAGCTGTTTCACCAGAAGCTGCGACTGGGAGAAAATTGTATGCAAAATTTTAAAACGGTGACATACTCTTACCTGGAATTCCTTTGTTTTGCCCTTGTCAGGAACCCCTGCAAGAGCAAGAGGGAGACGTGTTCAAATTCTGGCCTCTGCACTGCCGAGGTGAGAGGATGATTAAAAGAAAACAAACTCTGGCATAGTTTAAAGATAGATCATTTCTGCTCCACACAATGTTTGACATCCTGCACCAGAAACTCTCACAGTGCGAGCAATGAGTGAATCAATTTTGACAACTTGAGCCCCATTCTGCTGTGGGAAAGTGTCTGGATACAGGAAATAACTGTAATCTAAGAAAAGGATCTCTCTGCTCGTTTTCAAGCTCTCTGGCTCGAGTATTGCTTATTGAGGAGGATTCGATGCAAGTTATATACCTGCTGGACCTTGAGCGCCTGGTGGTCCTTGTGGCCCAGGAGGTCCTGGAGGCCCTGCAGGTCCCACAACATTGCTTCCTGGAATACCTGGGATTCCAGGGATACCCGGTGGCCCCTGTGGACCTGGGGGACCAGGAGGGCCAGGTGGTCCTGGCACAGGCCTTTTTTTCACTGTGGAGAAAGATGGAATAAACGGTTAGCACTCAAGTTAGTTTTAATTATAAATCACCACAAATCACTAATTTGCCGGCAAGTATTACATTTACATAGATACTGAAAGCTTGTCGCCCACTTTGAGTTAAGGCGGTTTTTGGATGACTTCTCAAGTGCATTTGTAGAAACGTGCAGCAGATAACAGTCAAATGAATGACCATAATAACAGAAACGTATGCCGGATTTTGTCATACCTCTTTTTTTCTCTTTCCTTTTTTCCTTTCCAGTTGATTCTGAAAGAAACCGAAGCAGCGTGATTAAGCTTCAAATGCCCTCTTCAACAATTATCATCTCAAATGACACATCGAGCATCCAGATCATTCCATGTAGGTATCCTAAATAGGCTGAAATAACAGATTGAGATGGTGTGCACTGAACACTAGAGTGGAGGTATGTCAGTCTGTGGTATCTTGTAGTGTAGTAATTTGTAAGTGTGGTTTCACCTCCTCTGTATGAACAAGTGCCTTAAGCATTCACAGGCAGTGGAACTGGAGAAGATCATTAGAGAGATACTTTATCCTGCCAAAATCCTTTTCTTTGAATTAAGCCCAGATGGAGAATGCAGATGAAAGTGTGTGTGTGTGCATGTGTGTTTGTGTCTCCTCCTTTACAACCATGTGTATGGATGTGCATGCACGGATGTTGGTGGGGCATCTATGTCAGTGCTTGAAAGCACTCTCAGTGTTTGCATCTGCAAGAGGGTGTGTGCGCGCGCACGTATATGTGCCGCGCACAGCTGAAGAATCCTTTTCAAAAAGCTGTCTCGGTTGCTCTTGTGTTTACCATGTCATTATAACTACAAAGGCCATTTAACCTTAAACCCTCACAGTTTGAGTCCCCCTCAAACATATGGCCAGTGTTTCTCCTCTGGCTAAATGACTGGATGCATCCGCATAGATTTCTCTTAACGAGCAGCCCTATCTGGAATCTGGTGCCCGTTAGGAGTGCCGAGGACGCACACACGTGCGCACATGTGCAAACACAGGACACACACACACACACACACATCTAAGGCTGAGATTACAAAAGCCTTTGTCTGTGCGCTAAGAGCAGAGGAGAGACCTGGGAATGATTAGTGTTTAGAGGCTCAGGACTTTACTGATTTATGTATAAAGTCTCGAAGGTGAGTTTTTTTCTTCTAATTTAAACACAATCACTAAACTTGCCCCCAAGTATTCAGTGTCACGAGACAGACATTGGAATGCCTTGTGATCGTGCTGCACTTGTTGCACTCAGACGTGAAACTTCAAAGGCTTCCCTCCCTTTTCTTTCTCCTTTTTTTTATTTGCATAGTGCAGATTCTAAACAAAAAGAAAAAAAAAACAAACTACAAAAGCAAATTCAGACATACCGGCCACATGGTTTACCACGGAGCTATTGATTAGCATAAATCAATTCAGCAGAATTAATGAAAGCTATGCTCACGCATGGTTGCCGGGTTCTCGAAAATGACTCACAAAGTCAGTATGCTTTTTGTCATTCTGCGATATTAATGTCACTGATAACACAGCTGGACTCCAAAGTACATAACTGCTTTGCTGACAGCTTCAAACAATAAGAAAAATAAAAATAATTACTTTAAATAAAAAAAAAAAAAATTGGTGGACGTAATGTTATTTTTAGTGGAGGGGCAGGGGATTGGGGGGACCCGGGCTTCGTTGTCTGTTTCAAATTGGTGCAGCCCTCCCAAACTCCTTGTTGTCCTTGTTTGCCATCCAAGTAATAATCAATCCCATTCCATTGAATCTCTCGCTCTATAAACACGGCAACATTATGCGGTGGCGCTGCTTTGTTAAGTAAGCACAAATCAATAAAACATCAATTCCACACACACACACACACACAAAGAAAGAAAGTGAGAAACCATCAGCAAACAGTTTGCAAAATTTAAGACCTCTAACCTCATAAGCCAGTTAATTACACTTAATTGAGTCCTGTTCAAGCAAATGCGTGTTACAGAAAACATTGCTCAACAGTTGACTCGCTAGTTGCCAAGTACATATCCAGAAAACAAACTGATGCAGGTGCAACCAGAGAGCTAAAGTTAGTTTCTTTTTTTAATGATTAATGGAAAATAGATGATGTGCTTGAAAACCCCCCAACAAAAACAAAAAACAAAACAGAAGACCAACTTAGGAGGCAAAAAACAGTCTTGTGTATCAAGGCGTAAAGATCAAAGAGACAATAGTATTAAAGGATGTCAAATGCTCATAACACACGCAAAAAAAGGGCTGCACCTGTTTCTGGCTCCTTGCCGGGGCTTCTTTTCGCTCGCTGAGTTATGCCCCTGTTATCCTCTGTGCCGTGGAAGTCAGCTTTTCTGTACAGTAACTTCTCCTGGTGGGACACAAAGGAAAATATCATTAAAGACGGAAAATTACGCATGGAAAAAGGTGCCACATCTTTTGAGCACGCTGCGCCTATTGTTACCAGCTGCTGCCACCTTAGATGAATTCGGTGAACCCAACACAAAAGGGCTGAATGCTACAAAGTTTTTGAGAGCGAAACTCTTGCTACAAGTGGCCTTTTCTATTCTTGGGGGTATAATGTTTGCACAGACACAACTTGGGGCAGTTGAAAAGATGCGAGACTGTCAGCCAGCACATTCACATGCGGCCAAGTCATTGTCTGTCCCATTTGGGCTGTAACGCATCCTGTAACCCAAGTCACTTTTGTCTGAGTTTCTGACGTTTGAGACAGTCACCTGGACACGACTGCTTCTAAAATTCACCTTTTTATACAAAAGGAGGACATGAACTGCGGTTAATCTGAGAGCAATACCCATTCATATGGCACCTGGTCCCAGCCCCATTCAGTGTTGGCATGAATAAGCTACAAAATAAATTGTCAAAGGAAAAGGATCTGATGTAGCTGGTCTGGTCTGAGCTCATCCCTAAAAACAGGGGAAGTTGCACTACAGCGGCGGATTGTTCCCATGGGCAAGTGAGCGGCGGGACAAACCGCACGTTTGTTCATCTGGGACTGGTTCTGGTCGACCTACATTCACATGAACTCGGTAGGACGCACTGACCCGACTGTAAGACATTCGAGACGTGTCTGGTGCTGACAAGGCAATGTTTCGTGCTAAGGATTTAGAGTTTAAAATATGGATTGCTCCAAGTGCTTTCTGTTTGAACAGCCAGTTTGTGATCACATCTTTGGAGGATTCCCAGAAAACAAAAAACAACAACAAAAAACCCCAAAAAAAAAAACTCAAAAACTGGCACTGAAAACACAAACGAGACCACCCAAAGCCAACTCTTTTCATCAGGCCTCGCAGTAAACGAGACAGCTTTTTGGTCACACTTTGGGGTGTCAGCATAAATAAAAGGTAATAGCCCGAGACATTAAGGCCCTCCATTGCTGACAACCAGACAGCTTGTAGAGAGCTGGACATCTGCTCGGTGTTTGGATAACTGACATCTACCAAAGCAGTGACGCATGCGGCACCTTAGCACGGATCAAAAGATAATAAATAACCACGTATCGGCTCGCCTTACTGCTTAGAAACAAAGCAGACAAGCTTACCGACAGACACTTTGGCCTTCCTTGGGGGGCCTACCCCAGTAGTGCCCAGGATGATATATTCCCTGTTTCCATCTGTGACACTCGAGTAAACATCGTTATTAAGTCGCGATGACAAGTAAGCTCCTTCTCCTGAAAGCAGCGTGAACTCCCAGGGTCTTTTTGTGGGCCTTTACAAGGCGGAGCCGCTGCAAAACACGAAAAGAAGTTATGGTTCGAATTTCTTCTATACCTCGTCTCAGATGTGGGAACCCTCCTTTTTTCCCCTCCTCTGGATGGGGGATGAGATGTATCATGTCAAACACCTGACGACTGTGTTAGGCAAGTTCGACGCAGTTAGCGTCTACATCCCTGACCAGCTGCCAGCTGTGTCTGACCTTACGAGCACGGGAATTCCAGCTTGATGGAGGACTGTGTGTTGGAACAGATTATCGGCGCGCAGACCTCCAGATGTTCCTGCGAGCGGCAACGTTTGCTGTTCATTTGGTGCGCAGGTGCCTCCACATCTCCTCTCCAGCTGTTGGCATACCGGGGGGGGCTAGCTTTTACCTCTCAAAGGATTTGTGGTGTATATTCAGCCATATGGCGTTACACTTTCTTCTGTTCTGACAGCCAAACACGATTCAACAGCCAATTTCTGGCCCGAGATTAAGCCCCTGCAGAACGACAGAAGACAAACAAGCAGTCTACGGGGCTACTACCAAACTGGTGCGCATCGTACTTTAGATGAAGGCAACAAAGTGATTTTTTTTTCTTCTTCTCCTTCCATTATATGACTATGAGAAATGGTTTTTCGCCCTTTTTTGCTTCATTTCACTTCATTACAACATTTACAGCCTTCGTACCCTTCAAAGGCACGCAGAGTTACAGTAAATCAGGATGACAATGTGTTGGTATGTATGCCAAGTGCCAACTATTGAGTAAACCATTCTTTTTCAGCGCATGGGGAGAAAAAAATGCTATTAATTAGAGGGCTTTCAAATCTTCAAAGAGTGGGGGTTGCTGTTGCGCGCAGATTCCCTGTTGCTTCGTGAGGATATGACTAAAATTCAATCACCCCAGGGATGTGTAATTTTGGGATAACAAGACTCCTTTTTTTGCCTTATTAACACTTACTATTACAAACTGATATATTCTTACCAGTTAGCCTCAAAAGGTCCTTGACATTTGCAGCATTTCAAGTGTAATGCAAGAAATAAAATGCTACAGGTCTCCAGTAGCATTTTTTACTCACAGTTTTCCACAAATACAGACTTTCTGGCTGCAGCGTTGTCTGTAAATCTTGCAAAGTCAATAACAGTTAGTGGCCGCTAAGTTGTAGTTGAAAATTTGATGTTGCAAAGCTTGAGACGGTGAAACTGAGGGCTGTTTGGGTGTGGTTGCGATTTACATGCCCATCACTGGCTGAATGGGCATTACCAAGTTCAGTGGCATGCATACTCCTGAGAGCTGATTACACCTAATATTCCTGTGATGTGCACTCCTGGGTCCGACAGCGACTTTGCGTTTTCTTCTTAAATATCACTTAAAGAAAAGGATCCTCCCCATAGCCCGTATCAGAGCCCGCTCTTTGAAAGGCCATGTGTTTTTAACCATAACTTGGGTAATTTAATAACGCTATGCATAGATTGTCATCTGAAAATCTGTGGAGCTCAACCTAAGGGAAATGTAGCCTGTCAGCAGCCAATCACTTTTCAAATTGTTGCAACACTCGCTGGCAAACCTACTCCTTGTTGAGTGCTGAGAAGGCCTTGAGAATTTATTATTATGGTGGATGTTTGCAACTCTGGACTCAATCTTTACTGGGCGTCTACGCCATCTGTCTGTCAAGACGATTCAAGCTTATACGGAGCAAACGCTCGCAGCCTCGCCATTTCTGATGTTTCTGCTCTCACGACTTGTGCTTTTATGTCTGCGCTGATTGATCCCTGATATGTCGACCTGCTCTCAGCGCATGTACGATACTGCTGTTTTAACCAATTATGCAGCGGTCACAATTAAAGTAGATGTGGGTGACAGCCCACCCGGGCGCCCCAGAGCTTGTACGCTGCTGAGGACTTTGCGTCCCATCAAACTGACTTTTTTAATAGCCGTTAACTAGACTCCAGATGTTTTAGCATCTGTTCTTTGGGGGGACTTTAAAGGCATACATCAGAGAGGAAAATTATTTCATATAATAGCTATAAGAAAAGTGTTAGGCTCAAGAGTAAAACGCTCTCTGAGCTTACATTTTGAAATGTTTCTGTGGACGTTTATTACATTTCACTCGCTGCTGTAAGGTGAACGAGGGTCAGGCTGACTGAGGGAGACACTTGCTCTCGCTCGCCTTACATCACATTTGTGGCACAGATTTTAGCGCCCCCCCCACACACACACACACACCTGGGAAGGGGATTTTTTACTGTTGGGAACTATGGGGGTCTGCTGGACAGCTGGGATTTACTGCCTTGCTCACGGGCATACCACTGCGACTGGTGAGGTGACGACTGTTTGTTCACTTTGTGGGCCCAGATCATAATGAACAGATCATCGACTCATTAAGAAGCAGCTAGAAAGATCTGAAAAAAGTGAGAGCTTTAAATTAGTGCTCAAAATTTAACTGTTTCCAAAGAAACTAAATGAATTTCTGTTACCAAACATTTCATATTTCCACTTGTGGTTTGACTGCATAGTTAGATCTCTTAAGACCTATAAACAGTGCCAGCTTTGTCTGCAAAACAATATTGTTTCCAATACTGTGCTTACATCTGAGAAAATGAAGATTATAAAATGTTTTTTTTTGTAAAACATCCAAGGAGACACAAATGGTCCCACACAGAGTCTGAACTCAGTTTGATAGCTTTTGGTTATTTTCTTTTTTCCGCCTCGCATCACCTCACGGGCCTTTCCTCCCTGTTCAGGGAGAGATTCTGGAAACCGATTACACACTTGTAGTATCACGGCTTGTACAGCCAAGATTCTTATCTGGAAGTTTTAGCCACGATCATGACCTTCAGATCAGGTGTGCATCTGCAAAAAGAAACTGCAAAGAGAAGGCCAAGCCTCAGTAATAACTCTACTTGTGTTTTCTTTCAGTGGAAAAAATGACAAGTGTTGGCAAGATTAAACATTCAAGAAAAAAAAAAAACTAACTTAAGAGTAGAAGGAAAAAGAAAAGAATAAATATATTTATATCATTTAAAACTAGTTTAGTGCTAAGACAGCTGATTTTCACTTCAAACAACTTTATTCTTCCTTGATATCATGACTTCAACTAACCAAAAAAAATTTAAAAAATAAAATCATCTTTTCATTAATTCATTGTGGCAAAATTTGCTCCTGACACAACAACTGCAGTGGGACCTATCAGAAAGACTCTCTGTCGCTATCCCACAGGTGTGTAGCTGACATCAACATTAAGGTGACTTCAAAGACAGGTGTGGTTATGCTCATATGTATGAAGTATTACGTACTAACGCCGCAACCACTCTGTACCTGGGCGTCACGGTTGGTGTGATGCCAATGCGTTGGCGCTCTCTAGTTTTGTTTGACACTGACCAGCCCTGCTGAATGGCCGGATGTTAAGGTTGCTTTTACATGCCGACAGACCACACCGCTTGGGTTTTTCAAGACACAATTCGACCACAAACAGGTCCATCTGAACGGAGGCTGCAGCACTGCACTTACGTGACAACAGAGCCTCGCTGTATCATATATGCTGTTGGAAAGCTGGCCTGTGTTGGTATGGACCTGACGTTACTGTACTTTGCTTTAGCTTTCTCAAGGCATCTCATGTTTTTGGTTATACTTGTCTGTATATACCTGGCCATCACGTGAAATTTCCCCAATGCTCCTGAAGTGCTTTGATGAAGAGCTGTGTGAAAAATCCAATAAACAATTTTAACCCCCCCCCCCCAAAAAAAGAAGAAGACGAAAGATCCTTCAAAGGAAATGCCAGAAAAGCTAACAAGTGTGGCTGCTGCGTCTAAATGCCACATGCTCCTGTTCTCCAACTATGTAAACTGTGGGATGTGTAATCAGAGTTGTTTAATGCAGACATCTGGCAAGGACAGCATCACAGCACTGTTAATATTTACAGCTGGGCCACAGTCTTTCACCTCATGAAGCGTCACCATCTGGCCAAATACCAGGCCCATCTCACTCGGCTTTAACTGGAGGAAACCACTACTATCTAAAATAAGCTTAGCAAAGAGGACACACAGAGGACTAAATTAATAGGCTGAGCTCATGAAAGGAAAATGTTAACGGAGCAAATCCAAATATGAGCAATGGATCTCATTAATCTTTCCTACTGAGAACAAATGCGCCCATCCTGGATAACTTGAATTCCTCTGGGTGGTTATCCAGCTGACAGCTCTGCACAACTAAATGTCCAGCCAATGCCCCCCCACACACAGAATATAATTTTCTCTGTTAAAAGGTTACACAACTGCTGACATATGAGCTAATTGAGCAAGCAATGCAAAGTTGAGAGGTGCACTCGGGCCTTTTGTGCTGATGAAATTAGGGAGGTAGTGTGTGTGTGTGTGTGTGGTGGTGTTGTGGTGGTCTTAGTGGTTAGTGGGTTGTTGCCAAAAGCCACAGACAACACAAATGACCGTTCAGTCAGCCCTGCTGCCAAGGAAGAAAACACACAAGAAGTGGGGCTGGCTTTGCTCCAAGTACCAAGTACCCTCATCTAAAGTCCTGATGAATTTACATCAGCCCTTGGGCTTTGCACCTGCTGGTGATCCAGTTAATTTTCTGTCCACCTGCTCCAGCACATAGCCTGACCTGCCTCTGCGATTCCAGCTGGGCAGGTTGCCTAAGTTCTGAGTACTGGACTTCTGTCTGCTCTGGGACCGAGTCAAATTGGGTTAAAATGTGGTTTTACTTAATAAATAATTCGCCCATTATATTAATCAATGAGTTTACTGAAAGTTATTTTCCCCCCACAAAAAATAAATAAATGAAAGAAAGGATTTTCTTTACTCAACAAAGGCAAAAATCGGAACCACAACTGCCCTAATTCTTGTTCAACTTATGCCCACCCTGGATGTGTTTACCTGAACCAGAGACACTGGCTAGGTGACAAGATTTAAAGCCTACACCTTTTAGCGCGTCTCAGTCCAGAAAGGCGGAATGACGCACACGGGGGCGCAAATCCATCCTTTCAAAAACAAAAACCCCAAAAAACATACTTGTCTGGAAACTGAGCTGATAAAACGCCGTGACAGGCTACTGTAAAAGAAGTTGCCCAGAAACATGCCGTAACAGCGCAGACACAAAACCTGACACCGTGATACCGGGAACAGGAGGACCGAGCGGAGGTGAATGAACACGAACAGCCTCCGCGTGAGGAATGACAACAATGTCGCCTTAAAGAAGCTCCGGTGTCTCTTCATTAAGTCTTTGTTTTTTTTTTACCTCACGACTCTCTCCTCCGCGGCTGCTGCCGGAGTCCAGTCGGACTGGGTGGCTGAGCGAGAGCACCTCCGCCGGGTCAGCCAGGTCACTCCCCGCCAGTGTCATCACTGAGTCCCGCTTCTGGTGAATAATTTCCCTTTTGACCTGGGACCGAAGGTCCAAATAGCAGACGAGGGTGACAGCGTGAAGGGTCAGCGACAGCAGGAATAATCCCAGGAACACAACGCTGCTGCTCCGACTCCTGCACTTCTTGCTGCACGTGCACGGAGCCGCTATGGGCATCACTTTGTCCGGGAAATCCTCCGCGGATGAACCATCGCGTGCCATTATCGGACGGAGGGGCGAGTCATATGCTCCTTATCTCGGCATAATCGGCTCGTCTGTCTCGCGCGGGCCGCGGCTATTCATTTACATGGAGACTCATAGGTGCAGCTGCAGCAGGTCGGTGCAAACTTCTCGGAGTATCTGTAGTAACAATGGAAACCCGCCCACCTCTCCTGTGATTGGTCCGGCGCAATTAGCAGCCCAGAGGTTGGGGGGGGTGGATGCAGTAGGTGCAGTGGTTGAGCGACACCCGATGGAGAGAAGGAGCTACTGCAACGCCTCTGAGACAAAGATGTGAGAATTTCTTCCCCCGCTCTTTTCTTATGTTTGTTGTTCAGTGTTGTGTGATTATTTCATGGACTTCTTTCAGTGATTTATTATCTCTTACCCGAGTGTGAATAGGAAAAGGGGGGTTGTCACCGGTGTAATGTATAATGTTTATATGTGTGCTTTTTTAAAAATGTGTTTTAGGGGTTTGGACATGCAATTTTTCACTGGCCTGCTTTGTTTGGCACTTGGTTTTGTTATGTGGGTGGCACATGAAGTGGTGGTCCTGTGTGAAGAACTGATTCAGAAAATACTGCCCGGTATTGTTATTGAAAGAGAACAAGCGGTTGATGGTTACACTGCAATCATCAAAGAGTGGAAAAGTAGTACAAATTATGTTCTTAAACATTCTACAAATTATCTGATTATAGGTTAGTGCATCTGAACTCTGTCAGGCTCAACATTATGATAGTGGGCCTGGAAGGGAGTCGGTGTCACGGTGAGGTCAGCGTCACTTTGTGTACAACACCATCAAATAATCTAAACATGTGTCATTCGGCTGGATCCAGGGAACGGTTTGACATTTGTGTTACAAAAATGCCCGCTGAGAACAATGCTTTAACTAGGCTGAATGTGGGCTTTGTGGTTTGCACATTTTCAAAATCCAAACTCGACACTTTGATCTCCAAGAACCAGAGGTAGCCTGTGAATCTGGCCGTCTTCGGGCCCCAGGATGATGAAACCTAAGCAGGGCAGAGACTCGGAGGGCTGATAGATCACCTCGTTAGATTAGTTTTCCGGGCAACTGCTGCCAAACATCTGTCTTTATTTCACTGGGGCAAACCCTGACATTTGTGTGCACTTGACCTATATGGAGGTAAACATTTTCAGGCTGGGAGACTCATACTAGGTCTCACTCGATATTACAGGCTAAATAATGATGAAAAGTGGCTTTTGGAATTTCAATGAATGGTATTTCATCACTGTGTACTCTCTCTATATATATTACTGTGAAGTTTACCACTGTACAAATATAAGAATCTGTTATTGTATTTCTTTTGGTTCAGCCAATTCCCACTGCCACTATATCATCACGTTTTCCCCCCCATGCACAATTAGTTTCCTTTCACCAGCTCATCTAGAGGAGAAAAAAAAGTGATTCTAGTCAGCTGCCACTGAAGGGCAGCATTGCCAAGCCATAAATCAATAACGCTGCATTCCAGTGCCCTCATAAAGTTGAACTAAAAAAAACAAAACAAGAAACAAACAAACAAAAAAAACCCAGCGCCATGCAAGTTGCATATTAACATGTAAATACATCTTGCATAGCCTCATATAGCATCTCTGAGATTGTGTCCTCAGCATCATCCCCTTTCTCTCCTGAGAAGTCATTTCCTCATTGTTAGCATACGATAGTGAAATTGAAGAGAGAAAGATTTTCAAAGTAACCCTCATAGGAGCTGTGACTGAGGGCTCAGCCTAAGCACGTTTGCCACGCTTCTCATCTGACTTTTAGAAGCAGATGATTTAGGACTGGAATAGTTAAGGGCACGCACTTCCTGTATTTTCAGACAAATGGTCACATTTTAAAATGTTTTTTTATTCTATATAAATGTATATGAAGGATTCCTCTAGGTTATTTATTGAATTATTTAAAAACTAAACAAAAAAACTTATTTGCTTTTGAGGAGGCCTTAGCTAAAGGTCAAACTCAACTCAATGCGCCTATCTTCTATCCCCTGCCTTGTTTCAGACAACACAACTCAACATTAAAGCCTGTGACAAATGAAACCAGTTTTATCGTGATTGGGTTTTTTGGCATTGAAAAGAGCAGGAGTAATTCGTATAACGTCCCCCGGGCTTCAATGCGGCATTCATAAATGGTGTGCCACTCTATCCTCTCTGAGCTTATAACAAGATTTAGAGGCTTTCCCTGCCAGATGATAGAGTTTTACAGAAGGAATAGGCGCTCTTATATTTTGCCACGGAGAGTTGAGCAGTTGGGCTGTGGCTCTGGGAGGCTGCTGGAAGATGCTCTTGGCTGAAGAGTTCCTCTCTAGTCCTCTGATAAGAACGCAAATTCAAATCAACTTTCATTTGCTATTAGGAGGACTCAAATTTGAGCTAAAACGATTCAAACCCAGCAGTATAATGCCACTACACGCGTAAATTGTTTTGGACCTCTGCACCACGTACATCACCTTCTCAGGAAGGACTTGCTGTTTCTGCACATTGAATTGGAGAGGTGTAACCTTGACTAATTGATATACTGTGACATTTGATTTCCTACCTATAAATCTCCATTAAATTGGACCATCTCTGCCATTTCCCCGGACAATGATTCATCCACTCGCATTGTGGGTGTCTATCTTAAGAGTCCTTATCAAGATTGGAGCTCTCTCTCTCTCTCCTGCTCTCTGGTCTTTTTGTACTGTGCTGCTTTTGTTCCTTTACCTTTCTCTCTTTTTCCTTTTCTTTCTGTTTGCTGACTGCTGTGTGCAGTTCAGTACCAATCCGGTGTGAGTAACTTAATTGATTTTTTTTTTATTCCACAAAGAATCGCTTGAGTTTAGTGGCCTTTTTAGCATGCAAAATGCTGTTTTGTGTCTTTTCTGAAGGCAATGGTGTTCAGGGGAAACAATGCTATTTGGACTTATTCATTAACAGGACTTGTTTTTTTATTGTTTCGTAGCATTTCACCTTTATTAAATGTGGACAGAGTAGATAAAGACAGGAAACACAGACTGAGAAAGGAGAGTATGGCATGCAACAAAGGACATATACAGCAAAGTAGTAGTATTAACAGAAATTCACTAACTCTTTTAATAGATATTTATTACATATGAAGTAATCCAGACAACAACAACAACAACAAAAAAACCCATAAACTGTACAGTAAAAGCTATCACATTAAAATCTAAAAACATTCTAAAAATGCTGCACTCTCCCTAAAAATAGACTTTTACAAATAAAAAATGAAGATTAGGATATGCAATCCAACTCTCCTAGAATATTAAATTATTAGAAATTCTTATACATTAACCAATCATCATTGGTTGATTAGTCTTTTTATAGCAATTCATGATGTAGTTTTATATGCTGTTTGATATCAAACATGATCTTAAACAGTATTTTTGAAAAAGAAGATGAGAACAGCATAAAAAGAAACTATTTAAAAAATACTTCATATAATCTATGTACACTACTGTGCAAAAGTATTGAGTCACCCCCCGTTTCTTTATATTTTGCTTCAGAGGATTTTTAATCTTTAGTGGTATTGAGGAATAGTTCAGTGGCAAAAGTTTGTTTTGTCTTTTTTTGACATTTCCACTCATTTTTAGTCCAGTCCTTGTATCTGACCATTTTCAGATAAATGTTTTTTAAACTACATAACACAGAATCATGAATCATTAAGCATAAAAGAGGCACATAACGTAAGGAATGAGCCAGTGGTGTGTCTAACCTTGCCAGAAAACTTATCAAATAACCAATTTTAACCTCCTAGGACCTGACGTCCACATATGTGGACATCACATTTTGGGTTATTTAGACTAAAATACTCAATTTTGTTCTACATGGGCCTGATATCCACTTACGAGGACATTATACTGCCACTGTTCTATCAAAATTTCAAACGAATATCCTCATATGTGGCTCTTATTTTTCTTAAAAACAAAATAAGGTAAAAAAAAAAAAATCAGGTAATTCTTTGTTTTTACATTCATCGGGCCCCAATATGCCCAAATATAAAGAGAAATTAAAAATGCATGTCGTGGAAGAGTTCGGGTCTTAGGAGGTTAAATGGTATCTTTAGATACTTTCTAACTAGCAGCCTTTCTCAAAATATTATTGTTTTTGTACAAATTTCTTTAGTTGAATCCATGAAAAATACCAGTTTCACAGGTATAAAATAGTATTTTTGCACCAACAAGGTGATGCTCGAAGAACTAAAAACTATCTTTAAAAAGGAAACTGGACCAATGGACTGGACCAAATGAAGAATTATCAGCACTATAAAACTATATAAATGATCTATAAAACATATATTTAAGAAAAGGAAAAATCCAGCAAAACCCTGACACAAGACTAAGAATGCCTCTGACCATTAAGGTGATCCAACTGCTGTTCACCAAAATCTCATCAGAATTGGTCTCAGTGGAAGGGTGGCTGTCAAGAAGCCATTCATAATGAAGGAAAGCAAGGAGAAAAGGTTGAGGTATGCCAAATTACACAAGAACTGGACTGGGAAAATCAGTATCAACGAGTCTTATGGAATCCAAAGGAGGTCAGAAAAGAGACACAACATGAGGGTCTAGATTCATCTGTAAAACACGTTGGAGGCTCATGGTCATGGTTTCCAAATCGATTGAATTATGAGCACAATAATATTTTGATCCACCATTCAGTACCATCTGGAAAGTGTCTTATAGGCAGTGGCTTCATTTTCCAGCATGACAACGATCCCTAATACATTACCAGTGCAATGAAAGCATACTTGGATAGAAAAATGTTTAGTGCATCACTAGGGATACATGGATTGGCCTCCCCAGAGGTTGCACCTCAACATTAATGAAGCAGTGTGGGATCATCTTGAGAGAAAACTGACCAGAAGTCAAAGAAGAGCTTTGAATGTCCTTCAAGAAGCCTGGAAAACTATTCCTGAAGATTACTTAAGAAAGTTCAGCCTGTGTTGAAGAATAAACACAGTCATATCAAATTATTGACTTTTAAGCTTGTTAGAATTCTACAAACTCTTTCCTAGCAAAAGACAAAGAAATGAGTGGTGGCTCAAGACTTGCACAATACTGTAGTTTATAGCTCTCATTTATTTCTTTGGACACTTAAAGGGAAGTAGAGCAAGCTGTGAACACAAGGCTGACACATTAAAAAGTTCACCATTCGA